GCGATAGGTTCAATACTTACCCTGATGTTGGGGTTGAATTGTTTTATACTGCGATAGGTTCAATACTTACCCTGATGTTGGGGTTGAATTGTTTTATACTGCGATATGTTCAATACTTACCCTGATGTTGCGGTTGCATTGTTTTATACTGCGATAGGTTCAATACTTACCCTGATGTTGGGGTTGAATTGTGCTATACGTCGATAGGTTCAATACTTACCTGATGTTGGGGTTGAATTGTATTATACTGCGATAGGTTCAGTACTTACCCTGATGTTGCGGTTGCATTGTTTTATACTGCGATAGGGTCAATACTTACCTTGATGTTCGGGTTGAATTGTTTTATACGTCGATATGTTCGATACATACCCTGATGTTTGGGTTGAATTGTTTTATACTGCGATATGTTCAATACTTGTCACATTTTTCAGGGAAACCTTTTGGGCTGATGGATACACGATGAATCCACACCTTTGTCATATCTTACTATGTAGAATAGGACTGTGTTAAACTGTTCTCTTCATTAACCCATTCACCCCTGAGGGCACATTTGAACTCTTCCAATTCAAAGCTTGAAATAGTTCATTATGAAATTTCAGGGGTGAATGAGTTAAGATCACATTTTTCAAGGACCGATACTGGTTTTCAATCGATGTTTTTTTGCACCCATAATTTGTTTCCCCTTTTGTCAGAACATACATATATATTGACTGACAATCCGCTGTTTAATACAGTATACTCTCGGTGATCTGCTGTTAAATACAGTATACTCGGTGATCTGCTGTTTAATACAGTATACTCTCAGTGATCTGCTGTTTAATACAGTATACTCTCTGTGATCTGCTGTTTAATACAGTATACTCTCTGTGATCTGCTGTCAACCCTCAGGGAAGAGTTTTGAGCCTCATTTACAGATCTCACCTGTTCAGGTTTCATTGAAATCATCTTTGTTCTAACTTCTCTCACTGTCATTTTGGTGTTAACCCTTTCACCCCTATGTAACTTTAGTTTTCTGGATGAGACCATTATGGTCCACAGTGGTGAAAGGGTTAAGCATCATTAGTTTTGGATTGACCAGTGTCATATATCTGCCTCAATTGAACAGCTTTGTTGCACCTCTTTTCTTACTTAGTCATGCATGAGATGCACACATTCTCACTTTGACTACAAAGATGACAGTTCTGTCCCACTGCAGTACACCATCCCTGGTGAGATATGAGCCTTCACAATGCAGTACACCATCCATGGTGAGATATGAGCCTACACAATGCAGTACACCATCCATGGTGAGATATGAGCCTACACAATGCAGTACACGATCCCTGGTGAGATACGAGCCTTCACAATGCCGTACACCATCCCTGGCGAGATATGAGCCTTCGCAATGCAGTACACCTTCCCTGGTGAGATATGAGGCTTCACAATGCAGTACACCACCCCTGGTGAGATATGAGCCTACACAATGCAGTACACGATCCCTGGTGAGATATGAGCCTTAACAATGCAGTACACCATCCCTGGTGAGATATGAGCCTTCACAATGTATACACTTTCATTTCAAATCAGGGTACCTGGATGTCCCATGTTTAGTTGATTTGCATTTTTGTCCTTGATTACTTCACACTGCATACACTTTTAATTATTAAAAGAAGGTCACACTGACCTACATATGTACATTTTGACCTTTGACCTACATCAAACAAAAAGTTTGTCTGGGCTCTATCTCCTACACTTCTAGTCACTGGACCTTCATATAAGTATAAGTTTACCTTGGTGAGGCGGTGTGTCATGTATCAAAAGTAGGTCACTCTGACCTACATTTTAACCTTACTACTAGTCACTGGAGCTTCATACTTGGGGTATGGGTTCACCTTGGTGAGGCAATGTTTCGTGTATTAAAAGTAGGTCACTCTGACCTACATTTTAACCTTACTACTAGTCATTGGAGCTTCATACTTGGGGTATGGGTTCATCTTGGTGAGGCAATGTTTCTTGTATTAAAAGTAGGTCACTCTGACTTAGTGACCTACATTTTGACGTTTGACCTTTATCAAAGAAAAAGTTTGTCCTGGCTCTATCTCCAACACTAGTCACTGGAACTTCATACTTGGAGTATGGGTTCATCTTGGTGAGGCGGTGTGACGTATATCTCTGTTTTTGACCTTTAACCTGCATCAAAGAAAAAGTTTGTCTAGGCTCTATCTCCTACAGTACTAGTTACTGGAACTTATTGCTTGGGGCATGTTTTCACTTGAAGAAGAAGCATACATATGCATAGTGTCACCAGATGCAATTTAATAGTAAAACGGTACCACTAACCAGTAAACATCCACCAGATTTATTTGCAATAGTAGCACTGACACTATTCCTTATTGATTATGGTGGGTCTGTCAAACATTCATATATAGAATTAGTCCCTGCACGAATGTATCATCTGTGCATTTAACATTCCGTGGGGGACTATAATTCGCCGAATCGTCTTGTTATTGTTTATTCTTTCTGTCTTGGATGTCTGACTGCATTGACACTCAAGCTATCAAAATGGTAATGTTTCATCACCATTACTTTGATGTAGTTACCAAGTTACCAAGTTACCAAGTAACCAAGTTACCAAGTTATCAAGTAACCAAGTTACCAAGTTACCAAGACCAAGTTACCAAGTCTGTTTTTACTAAAGCAGTGCCATACAACAGACATTGTTAATATACTATTTACGGTAAGTCCACAAAATCAAAATATTTGCATAATTAGAAAAAAACTACCTAGTTACTGTAAATGTTTGTTGCTGCAGTACATTAACCGTTTCACCACTGTAGACCATAATGGACTCGTCCATATCAATACATGGTAGTGTCTACTAAAGTTACATAGGGGTGAAAGAGTTAATGAAGTTATAAGGCTCTGACCCTGAACTGATTTTCATTGTCAGTAATCATCCTTTCTTCTGAAACCAGTTGTCAGATTGCAATGAAACTTGGTGGCAATCACCAACCTGTGGCTGAAATAAGAATCTTTATTAAAAAAGTAGCTTAACCCTGACAGGTTAGGGTAAAAAGGGTTTACAGAATGAATAACCTTAAAGCAACATCTCCTGGGATTGTGGGTATTATATGAAGATCAGTATAAATACTGCTGAAGGGGTTGATTCCCCAGGGGACTGCATGGTCGACCATAAAGGGTTGCATAGTGCAAAACCCTAAAAACATTGATAAAACTTACTGATGAAATTTCTCTCATACGTTATAAAATTGTCCTCAGATTATATAATTAAGAGGAATATTATTTACACTAAAACAAGAATTCCACAGGAGTGGATGTGTCGCCTGCTCAGTGCTTTTAGTAAGAAAAGTTGAAACTTGACAGAAATAAAAAACCTAATATATGTTGAACATTATTGTTTCTAGCATAACTACAAAATTTGAAAAGAATTGATTTAAAAATAAAAAAAGTTCTTGCATTTACTACACAATGCCCTTATTTGGCAATAAAAGGGGCATTACTCCACTAAAAATGCACGTAAACTTCTGAGATGCGAACTTGTCCCAGATATATTAGTATGCAATATGTGTACAAAGTTTGAATTCAATCAATCCAGGGAAACTCAAGTTGTCTCACGGAAACAAGGGACATCGCAACAGACGCCGCCGACAAAGTAATACCTATATATATGATATATATGTCGCCTCACCTTACAGGGGACACAAAAAGGACTACCCATGAAAGGGCAAAGAAAACATGGATTACCATTTACACTCAAGAAAGGACTACCACTAAATGGAGGAGTTTAAGCCATACATTCAAGTACATATTTCTGTGTTATAATTGAGTTAAATTGAACTTCCATGCAAATAATATTTTGTTCATTATTCCCTTCGTTTTGGGACACTCAGCAGTTTATATATTATTCATGTTATGCTCAAGTAACTATTAAGGTCCATGTGTTCATTTAAAAATATTATGCATATTTTTTACTCCCGTTTTAAAAGTTTTTGTCCAAATATCTTAACATTGATATGTATTTACTACTGTTATTGTATATAATGTTAAATAATATTATAACGACATTTTAAAACTTAAGTGGAGCGTAAATTTAAACTTGGCTTAGATCAATCATAAAAGTAGCATAATGTGAAGACATTGTGCGAAAATATATTAATTTTTATTTTTTTACACAAAATGATCTAAAACAGATCTGTATAAAATATTGCAATTGTTCACTGAATAATTGAAGTGATATATGATATTTTCATAACTTGACGTACTTCTATTTGGCTGTGGGGTTTGTTTGAACCTCCGTATGTGCTGACAAGTGCGTGTTTGACCTCCGGTGATTGGGGCACCTTGTGTCAGACCTATTAACAGGGTCTTAAAAATTGTATAGATATTACTGGTTTCAAGGCAGCCCTTTGTGAAAGTATTATTGTCTGTGTCAAATTCAGTGTTATATGTCTGTAGTTTTGTGTGTGTGTTTGAATACATAGCTGGTGAGATACCTTCAGGAACAAAATGATAATAAAAAATGACATCTGTGGTTGCTAGGGTAAAAAAATAAGAAATGGAAGTATACTACATGTACATATTAAGCTTTACCAAAACATATTATCATTTCAAAATACTAAGTGGTAATTATGATATGGAATATTCATTTCTCCCACAACCACTATAGGTCGATCTCATCACTCTCCACTCATTGTGTAAACCTGGCAGGCATTGGTTAAAACGTTTTGATTACCCACTTGTGGCCATAACACCATGAACGTTATTTCATTGGTCAATCTGCTAATAATGACGTCAAGTGACAATGGTGATGTCATGGTTTATGGCAATTGCTTTCGGATTGAAACGGAAATAATGAATTCCTAAGAAAAACATACAATTTATAGATATAATATCTGAGCATTGAGGGAGGGAAAGGGTCCAAGACTTGAAACAGTTGATTATCCCGTTTATCTAACTTTCGTTAGTCAATTTTCAAATTGCAAAAGTCACTTGGTAAACTTCATGTCTTTATACAATTTGAAAATTAACTAACTGGAGTGCTGTTTATTTGCTCAAAGAAGGATTTGCGATTGTCCTAATAGTTTGATATTGAGCTTTTTAATATGAT